GAAAATAAATGAAGTATCTTCATATAACAAAAAGAATGAAAAACCTTTATTTATTATTTTTAATACAAATCAACCCTTCTGACATAATAAAGTTTAAAGATTTTTTTTAAATGTCCACCTGCAGTTATACAATTATACAAAATATTACACAAAGATTACCAATCTGTAATATTTAAATATTAAGATTTTGAGGCCAGTGTATTAAAAAGATTCCATATAAGGACAATGGGCCTATTGAAGTATGAATTAACAAAAGCATGTTGTAGTACTTCTGTGTCAACTCTAGAGAGCTCTATTGTGTCTTTTACTGTAAGTGAGTGAAGGTGACGAGTGTGGGATATAATATTGTGTATAAAGTGTGTAAAAAAAAAGCATGACAGTACACACTGTTCTCAAACAAAGTCCAGACTATCCGATGCTTTAATACTGTCTACAGCTGAATTATTTAGTAAAGCAAATGCCCTACTCTTCTTTGTCATGTGCAGATTTGCTGACTGTCACTTTATTGTCACTATTATCATTTTATCCTTAACATATTTTAGTAGCCTATTTTTATTTTGAACTAAAAAACAACCTTAGCCCAAGATCAAGCCACTGAAAGAAAAAAAAAATAACTCTGATAAATACCTTCACATGTCTCATCCTTACATAATCTGCCCTGCAGAATTCAGGTCTGTCTTTTCCCACTCAAGTTTTTGGATGTAATCATGTTGAGAAATGTATTGACTTGCCAGTGAGATAAATGTCTATGAAGCAAATGGGATGAAATACTTTGTACATCCCCTAGATGCTTGACAGAATATGTAAGTCATAGTTTCCCAACCTTTTTTAATGAACTGAATTGTTCAATTTGTCAAACATGTATGTTTAAAATTATCCAAATATTTTATTTTGTAAATTTAATAAAACGTAAATAGCATGATTTGCATGATTTAAGTACAAATATTTATTGCAAGTAAATGGTAATGTAAATGAAGTTTCACTCTACAAACAGTTCATTGTAAACATGTTTCTGTCTATCCATCCTGGTTTGTTCTTAGAAACTAACTGTGACTTTCCCTGGCAGTAGGATTTTAAAAGACATCTAGATTGAGGTGAAGCAGACTGGAGCAGTTTAATCTTCAGGGAAACTGAGGCTAGGACGGGCCAAAGGGCTCATCAGTGTCCTCAAATTGAACTGGTTAGACATATTGTCAATAACTACAACAGCTCTACTGGAAAGTAATGCATTCCAATCCCAATAGCCTATTTAGAAGAGGAACAAATCCATATCCAATACAAAACACTTATACAAAAGCCATTATGTGAGTCATATAATTTAGGTGTACATTACACATCAGCGAAGAGGTGTCAAAACAATATGCTTTAAATAAATAAAACAGCCATTGGTTTCAGTTAGATATTGTATCAGTGTAACGTATCAGCTGACAAAGCTTAATCATTAAACACACACAAAAAAACATGTTTTCCCTGGTGAGTTTGTCAACTATGTTACAGACAAACTGTATGCCATTACACACACTGATTAAGTGTTACATTTTTAAGGGACTGCAATATTTATTTCTTTATTTATTTTTGCAGATATTTGTGTAAAATTCTCAGCACAGTCACTAGGGTAAATATATATATATTATACCAATAATCCAAAGATTAATATTTAAGATAATTTTAAGAATGTTGTGCAAAACGCAAGTTCATGTGGATACAAATTATACTCTGAAATAATATTAAAAGCAATATCTAGATATTTAACATGTAAAAAATCTGTCAAAACATTGTTGACAATGACAGTATTGACGCAAGTAACAGGTAGTTGACAGGTAACACAGTTGACCATTTCCCCATTTTGCATCATAACTTAAATAGAAGGCCTTTGTCTGGCCAATCAAATGTTATTTTCTTGATCAGATTAACCTTAAATGTTTACATTTATTAGAAATAAAATGATAAAAAATATCACAAACCATAACCCAACATAGTTGACGGGCAATTAATAGCCTATACTCCTTGTCCTTGACAATAGGTCATTGGAGATAAAATACAGAAAAAAAGAAGATATTTGCCATGGCTAGCGAATACCCATAATGCACTGTATAGTATGCATTCTCTTAATGGATAAAATGTGATATTTCTGAAGAAAATTGTTAGGAAAAAGTACAATCATCATCAAGGACATTAAATGTATAGCCTACATTTAAGACATATTATGCAGGGCCCAACAATGCATTTTGTTGGGCCCTATAATAATGTCATTTGTTAACATTATTTTATAACATTAATTTAAGAATTTATTAACATGAACTAACAGTGAGTGAGCCATTTTTTTTACAACATTTAATCTTTGTCGATGTTAGTTAATTAAAATAAAATGCTTCATTGTTTGTTCATGTTAGTTCACAGTGAATTAACTAATGTTAACAAATACAACATGAAAAAATGTATAAGTAAATGTTGAAATTAGCATGAACTAAAACTAATAAATGCTGTCGAATTATTGTTCAATTAGTTCATTTTAATAGTTAACTAATGGTAACAAATTAAACCTCATTGTTACCATTTTTTCTCTGATGTCTCAGCTGTTACCAGTAGTTCAGATTTTTACTGCTCCCATCCTAAATATAATGATTTTTCTTTTTCTAGAATATTTTTTCATTAAATGTTACATTTTCTTTACCAAAACAACATTTGGAACAAACTGGCTTATTGGAAAGCAGAAAAGAGTGACTGGTGATGGAGGGTTTATTTCATGCTGCGAAATGTTAAAGGTTAAATAACTATGTACAGTATATATGTGTTTACTGACCTCTTAATTTTAAAATTGTCCTTACTCTGATCTGCTTCTCCACAGGGTTTCACCCACCTGGATCCAGCTGTCGTCATGATCAAGACGATGTTCCTCTGCTTCTCCAGTACACTTTATAAATGTATCATATATCTCTTTTAATTTCTTTTATAACTGTTTTAATTTTCCCTGCTTTTATTTTGTGATTATTTTAATTCCTTTCTGTAAAGCACTTTGAATTGCCATAGTGTATGAAATGTGCTATATAAATAAACTTGCCTTGCCTTTATACGTTAGTGCCATTATCATTAGAACAGCACTGCCTCTGGACCACAGGCCTACAACTAAAACAGTTCCTTCCCCCAAGCTATCTCCACCTTAAATACCTAGAACACAATTACCTGTTTTTATCATTCATAATTCAGTATCTTATGGCATTTTTGCCACCTGAGTGTTGAACAATAAACACATCCTTGCATGTGAATACATATTTTTACATAACGCACACATTAAATACATAAGTGTTCTGACCTAGATGTTTTACTTTATCGTTTTTTTTCTTAATCTTAATTATTTAAATTTTCTTTATATCCTCTTGTGTTATGTAAGTATGTATGTATGTATGTACCCAGAGCTCCTGAAAACCAAATTCCTTGTGTGTTTACGCACACTTGGCGAATAAAGCTCATTCTGATTCTGATTCTAAATGACATAAATTATATTCTAGTTCTGCTTCCAACCACAAGGTGTCACTCTACCACAACTGAAGACTTGCATTAAGGTTGTCCAGGGTACTTGTCTTGCACCACTCTGACGTGTTACTGACCTGCACACTGATATTCTAGACGTGTTTACTAGACGTGAACATTCTAAAAAGGGAATGAAATGGCTTTTTTGTTAAGCTAACCTTCAGACCTTGTGTAAAAGGTTCAAGTTTAGGATTAAAGAAATGGTTCTCAACCAGGGGAGGAGATCTAAAATAATAATTTTAATAGTGTGATTTCTAAGACCTGGAAGAAGAAAACAATCCTCAATCTTAATACTTATCCAGTAAATCGCTAGAAAAGTCATGGGGCCTTCAAAATGTAGTTTTAGACAATGGGGGTCTTTGGTGTCAAAAAGGTTGGGAAGTGGGAACCACTGAATTAAAGGTTCTTTCTTTCCCTCTTTTTTTCTGTTCCTCAGTTGTTACTAGTGTACTTTACAGAGGCGGCAGGGGTAAAACCAGGATATTATCGCAGTTCCTGTGACAAAGGAGGTCTGCTATGAATCATTATTGCATACTGTAACTTACTCATAGAGCCAGAATTCTGTCCTGGGCCCTGTGAATTTAAATGACGGACCTGCCTTGATGCAAATCACTCTGTGAGAGAAAGTTGTTGTTTCTCTCACAGATTGCGGGTCTAAATGTTATAAGACCTTGGTGTGTCACACTATCATTTTCTCGCTTTGTTTCTAAAGAACAATGCAGTCAGATATCTTTAAATAGTCTTTATTAACATTGGGAAATTTAAAACAGAACTTTCCCACATATAAATACAATCATACTGACAGTGATCTATGTATCATAATACCCATCAGCAGGATGGACTTTTTAAATATTACAATAATATTGTTATTGAAAATTGTAAGGAATTGAGTAGTACATAATTGCATTTGGTAAGTCAACAAACAAAGGAAGATCCTCGTCTTCAAGAAAATCCTGAAAGAATTTATAGATACGGGTTATTATAAGGCCAGTACGATCCGAAAGCATTACACTGGTCATTGGAGAAATCCGGAGTTTAACTATAGCAGGCCATAAATTCGTCTTTTCCACTGTTTGAGTACCTGACGGTCGCACTGAGGTGGCTCGCACTAATCTGGCATACAAACGCTCACACTAATATTGCTCAGTGTATATTACAGGCCTAAAGCATATGCCACATCTACGTCTCAGAGTCTGCTAAATGTCAAGAGCTTTTTAGGTCAGCGGTTGAGTATCCTGAAACTTTGACTGACCTAACATTGAGGCAGTTTCCATGAAGGGGAAGAGGCAAGCCAATAACATTTGGCTACAACATATGGCTCTGAATATCCAGTCTTAAAATACGACTGAAGATCCAGTCAGTGTAATTCATGTAGTGTCCTCAGCAGCATAAGAAACGTCCATTAACGCCAAACAGCCAGGCACACGAAACCAGCACCTTTAAAGAGTAGGAGCCTATATGCAGCCATGTGTTTTTTTGCAGGCTGCCTAATTTGGGATTTTGGGATTGGGAATTCAAGGAAACATCAATAAAAGTACAGGAGTATTGTTGACAATAAAACTTGGTGGGTAGCAGTGGCACTGAAGAGAACGAACCCACCTCAAAAATACAAAATCAAGTGCAACCAATGGTTAATCATTCCGTGTAAGTGAGTGAAGGAGAGACCGACAGTCGAGGCGTCGCTCGAAAGTACGCCAGACTCTCTCGGCCTGAATCGGATGCTGTGTATTTCATAAAAGGAGGAAAGTGGCATTAAAATCAAGTTTTGAGGCTAGAGGTTGAGGAGTCTAGCTGTCCTCTATGAGCTTAGCTAGGTTGTCTCTTAGCTCTGTCAGCTCGAAGATCTTTCCATCCAGAATCTCCAGCAGAGTTTTGAGGTTCTTGCGGAGGTTCTCTTGATCTACTTGACTCGACTCCAGACGCTGCTCCAGATCAACCAACTGTTCCTCAAGCTCCTTGTTCCGCAAATCTGTGTCCTGTAACACACCGTGTGGGCATTCATCATTACACTACAGCTATAAGACATGGACACATGTTTGTGTTCCCAATAACACATTGTTGAATATTTCATTTCAAAACCATAATCACTAATAGAGAGTCCCCCCTCCCTTTGCTGCAATAACAATATATATTTATTATATTGATCGTGCACACACACACAAATCTTTTTCAGCACTATAAATGTCTTAACTGTCACTTTTGATCAATTTAATGCATCCTTGCTGAAAAAGAGTATAATTTTCTATAAAAAATTATACTGACTGAACAATATATGTTATAGATACTGTAATATTTCAACTGTTTAACTGTTCTTACAGACATTCCACCCTGCAAAAACTCATTTTCGGGAGATGGCACAGAAATAATATAAAACAAATTATATTATAGGCTACTATTTGCTCATTCAATAGTATTTGTGTGCTGAAAGTGATGTATTTGAGTGTGACGAATAAAGGAGCAAAATCCGTGGTCACAGAAGATGCATTTGAAACGCATGATATTACCAGGTGTAACGGTAATGCGTCTTGGCTGACCACTTGCGATCAGTTCACCGAAAACACATCTTAATACCAGGTGGAAACATGCTTTTTCTCTAGCTCGCTCGCTCGATTTCCGGGATACTGTATATAAATTGCGGGCGTCAGGGAGCCGCTATCAATATGTGGGAGACTCCCGGACCTTCCGAGAGAGGTGGGATGATGTCTGTTCTTACCTCTAATTTTTTAGTGAGTTCATCTTTCTGAGTTTGAAGCTGCTTTGCATTTTCTATTTCTTCTTTCAATCGCACCATTTCCTATGAAAAACAAGTAAGAAAGAAGTTTAAATGGCTTAAGCATCTGGCAAAGCCAAAAAAAATGATAATGAAAGAAGGATGTTAGTGATATCATTGACTATATACAATATAACAAACAGTACCTCTTCTTTTGCCTTCAGTGTACACTCCAGCTCCTCTATTGTTTGGTTCAGCTCTGTTTTCTGGGATTTGATCACATTGGTTTGACTACTCTGACTTTCCAATTCAGAAACCTGTACACCAAAAAACAAAACAAAACAAAAAAAAGAGTTCACAAATTTAGTTTAGACCTAAACTGAAGGGGAGTTCGCATTCACAACTTTGTCATAGACATTAGAAACACTAAATTTACCAACAGTTTTAGCTTAGTTAACATAGGTCCTGGAGAGCCACTGTCCTGCAGAGTTTAGCTCCAACCTTGAGTGATCCTGAAGACATTGATTAGCTTGTTCAGATATGTTTGATCAGGGTTGGAGCTAAACTCTGCAGGACAGTGGCTCTCCAGGACCAACGTTGCTTAGTTCAAGACAACACTAGATATATTGAACCCAAGGTTGTCGTATGTTCATGATAATGGGTTACAAGGTCAACTCTCCCCTCCTCACCCGTTTGTGTAGCCTTTCGGCCTCCTCCTGATAAGCTGCTAGCTGCTGTTTCCATTGTTTGACGTTGGCTGTGGACTCCAGTAGAGCAGCTGTGAGCTTGGCATTGTTGCTTTTTAGTGTTGCAAGCTCTGCTTCCCAGTGTTTGTTGGTAGTCGGGCTGTAGACAAAAATGAAAAACAACGTTACAATCAACCTTGCATATTATATATCCTTGATTGTTAATGTCCATTTTAGACTTAGGATTCAATCTATAGGCCAGGGGTTTTTTTCATGCCAAGAACCTTCAGATCCCCCAGTGAGGGAGTCACTTTCTAAAATATAAAGGCAGCTATAGGCTATATATCTTCCATGTATAAAATGAATAAACTGTTATAAATACTTTTTTTCTCTAATTAAACAATTGGCTTTTATATTGTCACTGTACTGAAGCAACACAAATTATTACAATAGTATCTCGAGAATACTTGCTTTGTATTAAGCTGTATTAAGTTTAAAAACTAGAGCTGTCAATAGAATAAAATAACTGTGATCAATTTAATTTATGACCAGTTTTTAAAGAGCAGAATGAAACGGTAATGCAATCAAATTTCATATTAGGGACCAGATTTACCAACAGCTTGCGCCAGCGCAAACCCTCTTTTGGCATTAAAAAACTACTGTCAGGATTTACTAAAGAGACGCAGTGAACAATTAGCGCTGAAAAGGTGTGGACAGGGTTATTTTTCCAGCTGACCTTATTCCATATGCATTTTTAGGAGTTTCCCTTTCAGATTGAAAATTTATGGGATAAGAGTATTGAAATGAATCATGCAAAGTGATTTACTAAGGTTTGCACTAGTCAATTTCCTGGTATTTGTGCCATTATTTACTGTCCAGAAAAAGCATGTCTTAAACCAGACGCTGATTTGCACTGCTCTTTGTAGATTGCTTTGGTCATTATGGACATTATCTGACTACGTCTGTGTTCTTTAATTTTCGCGTCATCATTAGATCACGAGCAGAACTTTCCACTTCCATTTGTGCTTTTTCACTCTCACGCTAATCTGTCCTGTTTAGTAAATCTGGCCCTAAATATCTGACACTACCGCTCAAAAGTTTGGGGTCAGTAAGGTTTTATTTTTTTGAATACTTTTATTCATCAAGAGTGCATTAAATTGATCAAAAAGGACAGTAAAGACATTTCCTTGACATCATAACGGAATCTTGAAAAACTGTATCACGGTTTCTGCAAAAATATTACACAGCACAATTATTGATTATAATAAGAAGAGATGTTTCTTGAGCAGCAAATCAGCATATTAGAATGATTTCTGAAGGATCATGTGACACTGAAGACTGGAGTAATGATGCTGAAAATTCAGCTTTAAAATTTAATATATTTAAATAGAACAAAATTATATTTAACTGTGATAAAATTTCACAATATTTCTGTTTGTACTGTATTTTTGATCAAATAAAGGCAGCCTTGGTGAGAATAAGAGACTTCTTCCCATTCTTAATGATTCTTTGACCAGGGGCGTCGAAACTCGATCCTGGAGGGCCACTGTCCCACAGAGATTAGCTCAAACTTGCCTCAACACACCTGTCTGGAAGTTTCTAGTATGCCTATTGAGACCCTGATTTTCTGGTTCAGGTGTGTTTAATTGGTGTTGGAGCTAAACTGTGCAGGACAGTGGCTGTTTCTCAATTTCAAGAACACAAAGAACAGACTTGTGTCCAAGAACACATCCGGGCACTTTCATGCGTCCTCTGTACTTGCGTTCTTGAGTATTGGGGCCCTATTTTAACGATCTAAGTGCATGGTCTAAAGCGCACGGCGCAAGTGCACTTAGGGCATGTCCGAATCCACTTTTGCTAGTTTAACGACTGCAAAAATGGTCGGTGCGCCCATCGCATGGTCTAAAGGGGTTTTCTCTTAATGAGGGATGGGTGTGTTTTGGGCGTAACGTGCAATAAACCAACCAGAGTTTCATCTCCTATTCCCTTTAAAAGCCAGTTCCGCTCGCGCCATGGCGGATTTTCTATTTACATGGCAGAATTTGCTAGCGTAAAAACTGAACACTAGCCTAGAAATCTAGACGCACCCTAGCGGCAGCAAACATTATTTTGCGGCAAAGTGTGGTCTAGCAACTCTCCGTTGACTTTCGAATTGGAAAAACCAAACTCTGGTCAGGCCAATCACATCGTGTATAGAGTTGGTGGGCGGGCTTAACACAATGACGGCAGAGTTGTGACGGTTTCGCGTGATTTCCATAGGTGATTTCCCTGCTACTTGAAAACAAACAAGATGCTGCTGGCGAACAGCGGTCTTTCGAATTGGCTTTGGCCGCGACTCTGGATGACTTGGAGTTAAAAGAATGTCACTTAAGTCATTCTTAAAAAAGGAAGATGTGTTCGGAGTTTTGACGACCGGATACGGCAAAAGTTTAATATATCAATAGCTCCGCTGGTGGGAAAACGCATGGGACTCACTCAGCCACAGCCGTTCGTTGCTCTCTGGTTGGTTAGCGCTATCCTATGGCGTGCAGAGGGATATCGAAAGACAACCTTTTATCCCGCCCCTCGGATTGAGGTATGCCAATTGTGAGTTCCCAGACCTAACATCTTGATAGGTCTGCTTGCCAGGCTAACTGAACACGTCTCCAGAGACGAAACGGATCAGCTCGTTCGCAAGGTTAAAGTGTACAAGCAGACCATCTACGGAACAAGCCGGATTCCACAATATCTTTATGTACACAATAATAATCTTTTACATTGTAATCCTTTTATTTTTAATATTTGGCATGTTGTGTTAAATTTGTGTGCGCAGCAGCACATTTCCCTGTGTGTGTAATAAGCAGAATGTACGCGCGCTGTGCACCTGCCTATAGGCGCACATTAAACATAGCAAAATAGCAAAGTGCCAACAATGCACCTGCCCTGAACACACCTCGTTTTCAGACCAGCACGCCCATGGGCGCACAAATGGGTGCAAATGTAGTTGCTATTTAGACAACGTGGCACACTTTGATAAAATGATAACGGGGCGGGCTGAAACTAGCAAAAAACACGTGCATCGTGCCTGGCACCGCAGTGCGTCAGGTGTATGATATAGGGCCCTTGGAATTGAACTTCGATGGTTGATGATGACGTTGTACGAGAACACAAGGGCGCAAGATCAAATGCATGTAGTGACCCTCCAGGAACTGAATTTGACACCCCTGGTCTAGACCATGAGGACTGTTAAGAGGACGTAGGAAGAATGTCATTTTAAACGTGACTGTAATTAAAGTTGGATGCAAGGGTTTTTAATTCGACCATTCTGTGTTTTACCAAGACTTGGACGCAGTTCAAGAGCAATTAACAAGGGTTATTAAAATCTCTATGATCCAGATTCGATGTCATTTGCATATATATTTTAATAAAAAGATTGATGGAATGTGACAAGCTGAAATAGATCAAAGCAGAATGCCTTCTAAAAGAGATCTCAAAAGTGTAAAGACAAAAGGGAGGCTAACTCTTCGGTTATATACACCATTTCTCATCAGTCCATCTGTGTTCCTCATGTAGTGACAAAGATATCAAGCATAAATTTACAATGTGCTCTGATCCTCGTGTACTGACAAAAAAAAAAAAAAATCAAATGCTGAAACAGTGTCACAGTGCCAGCGAATACATAACCGACCCACATCTCCAAAAGACTATGAGGAATCCCATCCGCTGTCATCCTGTTTAACATCTCATAACACATCCCACTCCTCTGCCTCCCTCCACGCACTCCACCACCGCAGCTTAACCACGCAAACCGTCGCTCAGGACACGCGCAGAGAACCAGCACAGAGTCCTCAGCGCTGACGCCTACGCTATACGGAGCGCCGCCAGTTCCCTTTCATCTCCCCCAGTGCCACCACCTCTGCTGTGGCTGACGTGATCGACCCCCGCTCTGACAGACAACACCTCAACCCACACGCTCCGACTCCTACTGAAGCTGTGACACAACAGGCTGGAGACACACATGGCTATAAAGCGCCGCACACAAGGAGAAGAAATGTTCCTCTGCAGGAGAAAGAGAGGAGAGAAGATGAGAGTGAAGTCTTGCAGCTTCAAGCTAAGAGAAACAGGGACTTCAGCCTGGTAAGTCAACATATGTTGTATATTACAGTATAGTATAGTTAAATGTTCATTCAGTGTTGACTGAATGGGATTTGATTAGACACTTTAATTAAATCGCTAATTAAACACTGACTTTTAGATTTAATAATAGTCATTTTTAAGCCAAATAAAGAAAGGAGTGTTTGAACTTGATGGAACATTTGTGCAGAACACATAAGAATCAGTTCAATGCAGTTGTATGCTGTTTTTTATGGACTTATTGGAAACAAACAGTTTAGTCAAAAAACTGCAATTCATTGATTATCATGCATGTTATTTCATTCTCAGTCTATTCATGATGCACTTTTATGATGTATACTGTTTTCATGTAATAAATTATTTTTCTCTAAAAAAGTTTTTAAGCCTCTTATTCGTATATAAAAAGTTGGACACTTACACTATAGGCTAACAAATGAATGTCACTGCATTAGATATGAAATATCAAACCAAGTGGTATTATTTTTAAAGGGCCATTGTATATATGCAGGTGCACAGAAGCATATGGCTGTCCACGTGACATAACTACAAAGAACAGCACAATGTCAGCGTCCTTCAAGCCTACTGAATGTGAATCAATAAACAATCTCCATCTGATCGTTCCTCCAACAGCCCAGTAATCAACATGTAAATCATTTCAATGGATCCACAATGCACCTCTGTTAAATGTATACCATTTAAGTCCCCAATAAAATGGACTGTTTTCTATACGCCACATGAAAAACAAGACCGTAATGAAGTTTAAAGAGTATTGATTGGTGTACCGCACATTTTGGTGTGCGTATCATATTAAGCCCCACTGTAAATGTGATTCACGACACTGTGATTCACGACAACTGCCCAACCAGCCTCTCAGCCATCACTTTAATTTACTGCACAAGACTGTGGGTGAGAGAACTGACTCACCACATTATAACAGCCAAAGCAGAACAAAAACACTCGACAGGCTAATCTATGACCCATAGGGTCACATTCACCACATTCATATACACGTTTTACACCTTCATCAAGTGACAGGAACAGTATTGTAAGGGGAATTTTGAAGTCAGATCATCTTTAAGGGAGCTAAAAGCATTATTCACTTCAAAATCAGCCTCATTGAAGAGTTAATTGCTGATTATTAATATAAATGACCAATTATCTATAATATCAAAGTGTTGTGAATCAGTCTTGGCAAAACTAAAAGGACAATTTGCTATACTAAGATCCCTTACTCGTGTCAAACATTTTTACGGTAAATGCATTGTTAAAATTCAAGTTGGAAAACTTCAGCAGACTGAGAAATTGAAGTGGAATGACATTTAATAAATGTATTAAATGTGATGTCAGATTTACAGATATCAACCTTAGAAACACAACTTGATAGAAAAAAAAAGACCATAAAACAAAGTCACAAAAAGATTCTCCCCCAAAAATTGCAGAAAATATCAGTTTCCAAAAATGATTTCTCATTTTATATAAAACAACATCACGAGAGTTCAGCTGACATAACTATGCGGTCAAACTTTACATTAGGTGTCTTTACATTACAAAAAATATATTATTATGTTGTATTGCAAAATGGTTTTGTTGCTATTGAGGTGGGATACGGGTAAGTTTAGGGACAGGATTGGAGGTATGGGTAGGTTTATGAGTTGGTTAAGGTGTGAGGCAAGGGTCAACAATGTAATGATATATGTAATTACATGCAGGTACAATGTAATAACATGTATGAACACAATAAGCGCATTGTATCAAATTATTAATTTAAATGTTAGTACATATTAGTTAAAGACACGTAATATGAGGTGGGACCATATATGCTTATCTGTCTAAAAAGAATAACAGAACTTCAGATAGAATTAGTTGCATCTACAGTCATTGGTGCATTCATTATAAAACATTGTAGTCATGTCAAACAGCTGTGAAATGATGCTATCAGTAGGAGCAGACCCGACAAGTTTTAAGCACGTGTCTGAAAAAAAAAAGACAAAAAAGACCATATGAATTTGTTCATAATATATGAATTCACATGGACAAAACACAATCCTATTTGAGGTCACATTGTAAACAAAAAGGTTGTGTTGATTTAACAGTGGGTTTTCTGACACATTTTGCAACAGATGACGCCGCCTCCATCTTCGTAAGTCACATTTGCTCTGGGTTGAAAACGTGCCACTGTATTATATAATTCTGAGTTGTTTGGACATATTATTCTAGAGAAAAAAAATAAAGTTATTGATGCTTCTGAAATTCATGACAATTATAAAACCATATAGCTGTCTGGAAGAGAACTGCAGTGTGGGTGTTAAATGCGGTTTGGTCCACTGTGTATTTGCGTCCAATAATCGCTTAGTATTTTTCAAGTGGCAGGTGAGAGTGAAACATTAACCTGAGATTATGTAAGAAATGGTAGGATGCTATTTTTGAACCTGAAGCACTGGATTGCTCAACCAATTAAAATTCAAGCATCTAGAGACCTGGTGAAATGGACTCAAAATGTTGCCTTTGCAGTCAGACTAAAAAAAGCTGCTGAGTACATACTCATATGAACAAGTGTCTGAATGCTCATACTGAAAATAATTTGCTGAAAAGTGCTCAGGAAAAGTCCAATGAACGTATGACTGTTATTGCTAACTTTAACACTACTTTTACTTAAAACTTTTAGGCGACAAATAAACTAGGGATGCGTTAATATAAAAATTCTGGCTAATAAGCCAATACATTATTTAGTTAGCTTTAGTTATGACTGATAACCTCTAAACAGCTGATATTAAAATTCTGTATTATTTTGTCTAAATAAATAAAAACTAAAACTAAAATCAACCAGTGCTATAAAGTGAATTTAGACATCACAACATAATAATTTACAGTAGAAAAAATGTATATTCATTTTGAGGTTTGCAATAGATTAGATTTAATATTGTTATTAAATTATTAGTGTTTTGAAAGATTAACTTTAAGTGAGTGTTTTGAGTAACTTTAAGATGGAGGCAAATCTAAATGTAAAAATAGAGGAAATAAGCAATGCTTGCAAAAAATAAAAAGAAGCAGAAATTAAAGAAATATTTGAGACAAATTAACCCAAAATCGTGTGTTTTTTTTTTTTTTTGACATTCTAACTACAAGTAACTACATGTCAGCTAACTGTCATTAATTTGCAATACTGGTCAACTAACTCTCATTAGAGTTTTAGTAGACTGTTAGGTGAGGGTTCAGGGCCCGATATACTTCAAGTGAAATCGAATGAACTGGTGTGACGTCATTCCGAACAAAATGAGGCCAAAACTACGTTCATTTGAAGTTCGTATCAAGAGTTCGATACAGCTTGCAAAAGTGGAAAAGTTTGCTCCGGCTGGTAAACACCTTCGAACTACCATTGGTCCGTGGCGATTATGTAATAGGTAGGTGTGGCTCTGAGGCCCCACTTTTTTTGACATGGAAATCTTATCCGGGTTCATTTCTTCTGTTCCGTCCGTCACTGTCGGACGTCCGTGAGTAAAAACATGAACACATTGGAGAGCTGCTTTATAGTAGAAATTAGTTTTAAAAAATTTGTCAAAATGGAAACGTTTGCTACGGCTGGTAAAACACATTCAAACTACCTTTAGTCTGTGGCAATTACATAATAGGTAGGTGTGGCTCTGAGGCTCCGCCCTCTTTGACATGGAAAGCTTATCCGGGTTCATTTCTTCTGTTCCGTCCGTCACTGTCGGATGAAGTTGTAATTCTAATCGAAAGCGATACTGTTACTGTTTTTTCATGTTTAACACTATTATAAATCTATTGTGTAAAGTCATGCAAACATATCCACATGATCAGATGCTTTCTTAATTGCTGTTTTCTTACCACTGTCATTTTTGTTTTGTGTATATTTTAGTATTGAGAGTAAAGAGAGCAGCACATGTTAACATTTCATCTAAACGCTGCTCTCAGCAGTGTGGGCGGCATCGGATGCTCGCTTACAGTAAACCACTATAGTCACAAACTTCTTTTTACCCCTAAGCGAATAACGAAAAAGAACTTCACTGTGATTATGTCGGGGCCTTTAGTAGAATAAATTGACATGCATGCAAAGCTACTTATAGTCAGTAATGTCTGATGGGTGACCATCAAAATAAAATGTTATCAGATATTAAGCACACAGTCTGCTAATACTCTAATGAGAGTTAGTTGATATGTAGTTGCAAAGTTACTTATAGTTAGTAGAATGTCTAAAGTGGACTATCGAGATAACGTGTTACCTCTTGTTGTACCAGGATTCTGAAAAGATTTTATATTGAGCCCCAGTTACCTGTGTGCAAGGGTCGGCGTGGTCGGGGAAAGGTCTGATTGGAGCATAGAATTCGGTGACACGTCAGACAGAGTGACGTCATCACCAGTGCCGTTGATTCGACAGAGGTCCGCAGTGACGGGTGGAGTCAGGGGGGAATGAATGTCGGCAGGCGATTCCTGTGAAAAGCGATTAATCGTGGGTTATTCATTTGTTGCACCCTCACATAGTCAATACATAATCTTCTTTTACATATAGAATTGTTAAGCTGCTAATTAGAACAGGGGATTAAGGAAAACTAAATTTTTCTTAGAGACAATAGATTTCCCTTGGAGACTGAAATGCTGTGACCAGTGTTTATGAACATCATTGTTCTGCACTAGACTGTACTGATAAGAATAAATCATAAATGGAAAATATACTGATAGCAAAAAAACTATTACGGATTTATATTTTTTCAATTACTGTATATTCTCCTATTTTGAATAACAAGTCTTCCAAGCAAACTTTATTCCATGTATACACTAAAACAACAGTTCAGACATTACAGGGCATACCTGAGAGGGCGAACTTGCCAGCTCCATCTTTTCTAGAGACTTCTCCTTGGCCATCCTAGCTGCTTCCTTGTACTCTGAAAATTTTTCTGCAAACTGATAAGAGAAAACCGGTTCAAGCCTTTAAACCATGGGATTCGCATTCAATTTGATAACATTCCCATTAAAGCTCCTGTAGGTAACTTTTGTAAAAAATATTTTTTACATATTTGTTAAAACTGTCATTATGTCCTGACAGTAGAATATGAGACAGATAATCTGTGAAAAAAATCAAGCTCTTCTGGCTCCTCCCAGTGGTCCTATTGCCATTTGCAAAAATACACGCTCCCGGTCAGAAACAACCAATCAGAGCCAGGAGGAATGTCTTAGCAGTGTCAATCACGCTCGTGTACGCGCTGATCACACCCCTCTCTTGCCCAGCGCGAGCCGTCGTTCAAACTCAAGATTGCCGGCGTGCTGCAGCTGTGCTTATGACGGAGAAACAACCTAAACGGCCAATTCTCGAGTGACACCTGCTCATAAAACAAAGAGGTAAAAGGAAAAAGACCGATGACGATAAACAAGCGAAAAAGAAAGAATTACACAGAGCCCATTGATTCGGTGTCAAAACTCTAGCCGCATAACATGTAGATAAAATGTCACGCACTCTGCTAAGCAACAATTGAAACCTGCTAATTCACTGGCTTGTCATGTTGCTGAAATAATGTACTAGCACACCTTATCTAGCATTATATATCGCTAGAATAATTACTTACATACTGTAACGTTAGTTAACGTTATATTAACATTATCTTACTAGCTATTTATAACTTATAGAAAGAGTATAACGTTATAAAGTTACATGTAGGCTATTGGAAATTACATAATGATTTGAGGACCAAGTTTGTAGTCAAAGTATGGGCAGGCCATAGTCAATGTAAAGCATATTGTTGACGTTTAGTCCCTATTAGTGAATGTGCCATATAACTTTTTATCCGCTGTTATCGGTGGGCCTGTTTACTAGCCTGCGCGTTCACGGCAGGCTCCGCTGTGGAGGACGAGCTGTGGAGGGAGGGCTGTAGCGCAGCAGAGAGCAAGGGGGTGGGACCTGTAAGTTGTGCTTGTTCAAATTTTCAGGCTAAGTCAACGTTTTCTCAAAACTCCCTACTGCAGCTTTAAGCTACAAATGTTAATTATGAATATTCTCTGAATGTTCAAAACATCTGATTTTTAAATGCTTCATAAACCTTTTTTTCTTGGTTATGCGAACATTAAGGGAACATTCCGTTTTATTTATATAAACATTCCGTTATATTTCCGTTTTGCAAATATTATGGGAGCGTTACATTTGAATGTTCTCTGAATATTCTGAAATAAGTAGTAGCCTAACATTTTAAAAAAAACATTAGGCCAACATCCAACTAAATGTTTCAGGTAAAAGCATAAATAATAATTTTGTGCTAACTTTTTTAGAACTTTATTAAAGATGAAGCTAGTTACTGGAAGAACGTTTGTTCATAACTTTGAGAGAACCTTGCCAGTTGCCACAACGTTAGCTAAAGTTTTAAGAACGTTCCCTGTTTGCTGGGTTGGTAGTTTGGTGCTGGTCCAGCTGATGAAGCATATCAACCAGCATGATCTTTCTGGGTAAATCGTTCAACCAAAAAAAGTATTCCTGGTAAAGCTAGCTAAAAAGAAAAAAAACCTGATGGGGGGACACCAGCACACCAAGCAGGAGACTTGCATACAAAATGCAATTTTTATTTATGCTGGTGACTATCAATGCTGTTCTTTTAATGTTGATTACAGAGACAGAAATAAGAAGATCATGTTTATGTGTTTAAATGGATGAACAAATTTGGATATGTGGTATCTCTTCTAAAAAAAAAAGGAGCAATGGTGGTCACAGTTCCCAATATAGACTGCTCCCATTAAAGCTTCCTGGCCTCTGAAAGGACTGAAGCATTTTCCTCTGAATATCCAGCAGGAAGATTTATGTACACTTTTAGGTCAGGGGTGTTCCATTAATAATGTTTAAAAATCAGATTTAAAGTGAATATACCTGAGACATTTGAGAAGTTTGAGGCATTTGTAATTAAAGAGAGTTCATCCAAAGATAAAAAAAAAAAAAATATGGTTACACTTTAAATAAGGTTCCATTAGTTAACGTCAATGTTGGGGAAAGTTAATAGTAATGCGTTACAATATTGTGTTCCTAAAAATGTACTTAATTCTGTTACTTATTTACTGGGGCTGGGCTTGCTTGTTAATTTTTGTAATAACAAAAAAAAGTTCTATTTTTGGCAAATGTAAAGGACTTTCACACCAGAGGTGAAATGAATAAGCCTCAAGCTAAAGGAAATGCAGATTCACACCTGAGGGTGCAGCTCAAATAAACCTTTCAGCTTTGCAGCTATTCTGATTTGCAGAAAAATTGGACGCAGAAGAAGAAAGATAAACATTCTTACTTTCAGCAATAAAAACAACAACAAAAATTAAACACAAATATGATGTTTAACCCCTTACCCCACACCTCGCATTTTGGCAAGTGGGGCATAAATGACATACCCAAAATAAAAAGGTTGCTGCTCATAAGTCATTCTGAATAGACACATAGCCAACATATATTTAGAAAGCCAACACTTGAGAGTTTACAGTTCAAGACTCCGACTCAATGAACTTTATTAAGAGTTCATTACTCGTAAATAACAGTGTATGGAGATATATAAGCTCAAACATAAAAAATAAAATAAAAAAAACATTAAGAATATATTTTTTAAATGTATAAAAATATGATGTGTCTGTGTTGTAGAAACACAATGATGCTGAAGCCAAACCTCTGCTCATGCTTCATTTCAAATCTGAGGATGTTATCTCTAAAACTATGAATTGTAGGAAGGCTGATAAGAAGGCTGATAATATGCTAATAAACTAATTTTTTGCCCTGTAATCACCCATTTGCAGTCTATTGTCTAATGCCTGGTGAGGAGAACTGTCCCATTCATGTTTCTATTGTTCTCACTCGACAAACCTTTCACACCTCTGCCGTGATTGAGACCTAATTTTCATTATTTTTTATCATTATTCTTTTGTTTGTATTCAGCCATTATTAGCTTTTATTCTGGCATTACATGCTTCCCCATCTATACTACTTTGATCCCACTTTACATTAATCCACCTATTATCTGAAGTCTTTCTGGAAAACAAACAAAAATAAGCATATTCTTTGGACCTTATGTGAATTATTTTAACAAATTAGTTTACGGAATAGAATAGCTCCTGGCATATTTAAATACTGCAGGATTGCTTAATATTCTACACTCACCTAAAGGATTATTAGGAACACCATACTAATACTGTGTTTGACCCCCTTTCGCCTTCAGAACTGCCTTAATTCTACGTGGCATTAATTTAACAAGGTGCTGAAAACATTCTTTAGACATGTTGGCCCATATTGATAGGATAGCATCTTGCAGTTGATGGAGATTTGTGGGATGCACATCCAGGGCACGAAGCTCCCGTTCCACCACATCCCAAAGATGCTCTATTGGGTTGAGATCTGGTGACTGTGGGGGCCATTTTAGTACAGTGAACTCATTGTCATGTTCAAGAAACCAATTTGAAATGATTTGAGCTTTGTGACATGGTGCATTATCCTGCTGGAAGTAGCCATCAGAGGATGGGTACATAGTGGCCATAAAGGGATGGACATGGTCAGAAACAATGCTCAGGTAGGCCGTGGCATTTAAACGATGCCCAATTGGCACTAAGGGGCCTAAAGTGTGCCAAGAAAACATCCCCCACACCATTACACCACCACCACCAGCCTGCACAGTGGTAACAAGGCATGATGGATCCATGTTCTCATTCTGTTTACGCCAAATTCTGACTCTACCATCTGAATGTCTCAACAGAAATCGAGACTCATCAGACCAGGCAACATTTTTCCAGTCTTCAACTGTCCAATTTTGGTGAGCTCTTGCAAATTGTAGCCTCTTTTTCCTATTTGTAGTGGAGATGAGTGGTACCCGGTGGGGTCTTCTGCTGTTGTAGCCCATCCGCCTCAAGCTTGTGCGTGTTGTGGCTTCACAAATGCTTTGCTGCATACCTCGGTTGTAACGAGTGGTTATTTCAGTCAAAGTTGCTCTTCTATCAGCTTGAATCAGTCGGCCCATTCTCCTCTGACCTCTAACACCAACAAGGCATTTTCGCCCAGGACTGCCGCATACTGGATGTTTTTCCCTTTTCACACCATTGTTTGTAAACCCTAGAAATGGTTGTGCGTGAAAATCCCAGTAATTGAGCAGATTGTGAAATACTCAGACCGGCCCGTCTGGCACCAACAACCATGCCACGCTCAAAATTGCTTAAATCACCTTTCTTTCCCATTCTGACATTCAGTTTGGAGTTCAGGAGATTGTCTTGACCAGGACCACACCCCTAAATGCATTGAAGCAAGTGCCATGTGATTGGTTGATTAGATAATTGCATTAATGAGAAATTGAACAGGTGTTCCTAATAATCCTTGAGGTGAGTGTAAGTTTGCAATTAACTGTTTTTATTCCTTTTAAGGAATACTTAATCTGTTTTTGTGCAAATGAGATGAGTAAATGCGTGTTCACATTTAGTCTAGAACTACAATAATCATCATGTTTAGACAGCGCACACAACGCCTCTGCACCCCATTTCTCTCAACATGGAGACAAAAATGTGTCAGTCAATACATGGGGAAATAAAGTAACTTCTGTTACTTATTTGAAAAAGTAACTCAAATATTTTGTTGTTAATTTAAAAGTAATGCGTTACTTTAGTTACTTGAAAAAAGTAATCTGATTACGTAATGCACATTACTTGTAATGAGTTACCCTCAACACTGGTTAACGTTAGTTAATGCAATAACTAAAATTAACTAACAATGAGCAATTCATTTGTTAGAGTATTTATTATTTTTTGTTAATGTTGGTTAATATAAATACAACTGTTCATTGTTAGTTCATGTCAGCTCAAGTCCATTAAATAAAATAAACACAGATACAACGTTTGATTTGAATAATGTAAATGTTGAAATTAACTTTAAGAAAGATTATAAATACTTTAAAAGTATTTTTCATTGTTAGTCCAATAAGACCATGTTAACTGTAACCTTATTGTAAGGTGCTACCAATTATCTTTTAATAATTTACTCACCTTCAAAACTCTGTGACTTTATTCTGTGGAACATAATAGGAATTAAATTGTGTAAAAAATATTTATTGCATTATATTATTGTATTACACAAAATATTATTTAATACGACCGAATCAACCTGACTTAAATTACATATAATTACCATAGAAGTCATTTTTATTTATAAATGTGACTCTGGATCACAAATTCAGTCACAAGTAGCATGGTATTTCTGGCAATAGCCAACAATACATTGTATGGGTCAAAATTATTGATTTTTCTTTTATACCAAAAATCATCAGGATATTAAGTAAAGATCATGTTCCATGAAGATATTTTGTAAATTTCCTACAGTAAATATATAAAACATTTATTTCTCTAACTCGTGGATGCAGCACAATCGCGAACATAAATGGACAACTTTAAAGGTGATTTTCTCAATGTTCCGCACCCTCGGAATCCAGATTTTCAAATAGTTGTATCTCGGCCAAATATTGTCATATCCTAACAAACAATACATCAATGGAAAGCTCATTTATTCAGCCTTTATGTGATGTAGAAATCTCAATTTCAGAAAATTGACCCATGTGACTGGTTTTGTGATCCAGGGTCACATATATATATATATATATATATATATATATATATATATATATATTAAATTAAATGAAGTAGAAATAAAGTGTTAATGTAACAACTGCACATTTAAACGTTGTGTAGTGCTATTTTATGAAACTGTTATGGTCCATTTGTGTGTGTGTGTGTGTGTGTGTGTGTGTATGTTCCACAGAATAAAGTGAGAAAGATCAGGAACTACATGAGAGTGAGTAAATGAACACAACATTTTCAAAATGATAAATAAATAATAGTGAAAATACTGCTATATAATTCACTTTGTATGAAGTAAATACAGCATGTAAAAGCAAAGGAAAGAGGAGAGTGAGAGGGAATGAAAAAGAAGGAGAGAAGAGGAAGACTAGATGAGGTGGTGAGCTCCTAACAGTGCATCATCATAATGCAGAGGAGCGAGAGATAGATGGAGAGAAAGAGAGGAAAGCACTGCACAGAAGAAGCCTCCCACGCACAGATGACTGTACAGCTCCTCATTAGGGCACAGTGTGTAGGTGTTCCCCAGCACAGAAACACAGGGGGTGGAAGAGAATGAAAGAAAGGGAGAGCAAGCCCTCCAGAGACACAGGGAAGAAAATGAGAGATAGGAGAGAGAAAGAATTTCACCCACCTTGGCCAAATGATGCTCAGAGGAGAAACCCAGCCCATACACTGTGTTGGCACGGCTGTCTGCCCACTGCCCGAACTTCTGAGACGTCTTTGTGAAGGTCATGTTCGGGGTGATAGTGCTGTTTATTATTGCCTGTGAGATGAAAAAGAAAACAACTCCTCAGAAAAGAATGTGAAGACACGAGTGCGTGTTTTCAATACGGCCTTGAAGCGTTTAAGATGAAGGCCCTTTGAGAGAGCAAAAAATAGGCAGAAATAGCGTCCATAACATGGGCTGATTGAAATATTGGGTTAACAGCCAGCATAAAATTGTGTGTGAAAGAGTGTGATCCATTAGTGTATCATCACGCTCGTACAGATCTGTTGTCGGAGATGTGGCCTCGGAGTTAGTAAGTTAAAATATGCCCATTGATATTTCTAGAGTTGTTATTGCTGTTAACTATAACTAAAACTAAAATATTAAAAATCATTTTTGTTCACTGAAATAAAGCTGAAGTAATATATAAACTAAATGTATAAATACATATAACTATTATATGAAAAACTTAAACTTAAAAAAACTGACTCAAGTTTAAGTTGGAGTACTAAAATGACTAAAACTGAAATAAAGATAAATTAAAGCTAAATAGAAATCCAAAAAAATAAAAAATAAAAATAATAGATGACAAAAGTACATAAAATTTCAATTAAAATTGAAAAAAAAAACTATTTCAAAATTGATAAATACAATAATAGTATGTAAACAATACTAAAATAAAAATTCTGATCTTTCTAAAGAAAGAATTTAAGTTTTTTTGCACTGACTTTAGGGAACATTTTGTTACAACAAAAAAAGAAATGTGAAAATAGCCGTGTGATATCGCTCTACATATATATCAGCATGGCTGTGATTCGGAGACGGCTATGAGTTTGATATTGCGTTTATACAACAGTTTAACGGAGCAAGTCTTTAAATAAATAAGAAACAACAACAACGGAGTGTCTTTAAAAAGTTTTTAAAGACACTCCGTTGTTGTTAGGGTTAGGGTTAGGTTAGGGTTTTTTAATGACAGTTTGACAGTTGAGCCCCAGCCTCCGTTACTAATTCTAAAACATCACTTTAGGAATGTTGAGTTGCTTTATTGAAGCTGATTGTATAATGTAGAGCAGAGTATTATGAGTGAGAGATCGACTAAGCAAAAGCGTTACCTGCATCTAGCTGATATTCTTCAGGTTAATCTTATATTCATAATCACAAAATCAGTTTGAATGTCCACTGAGGAAAAAATTAAATATAATATAAAAATATAATGTTGTGAAACGTAACTTTTCCCTTAGCGAAATCGATTAGCTCTGGCACAAGTAGATTAATAAGACCAAAAATTGTCCGTTTGATATACCCCAAAAATGAATTACCTCATGTTTAACCACTACACTACCTAAGAGCCAGCAGCAAATTCCCGAAGGACTGTCCGAGATTAAGGGCCCTATTTTAACGTTCTAAAAGGCGCATGGTCTAAAAGGGTTGTCCCTATTCTCTTGAGTAATGGGTGTGTTTTGGGCGTAACGTGCAATAAACCAATCAGAGTATCATCTCCCATTCCCTTTAAAAGACAGTTGCGCTCGCGGCGCGCCATGGCGGATTCGCTCTTTACATGGCGAAATTTGCAAGCGGAAAAACTGAGCGCTTCTCTAGCGGAAACGGATCTGCGCATGAGCAGACCATCTACGGGACAAAGTGGACCCGCCTATAGGCGCATATTACTAACGCTCTTTAAATAAAACATTTTTATTTATTTAAAGAGCATGTTAGTAATATGCGCCTATAGGTGGGTCAACCTAAATAAACAAAAAAAAAATATTTAAAGACCGTGTTAGTAATATGCGCCTATAGGCGGGTCAACCCAGTCTATTTCAGTTGCCTGAACGCACCTCATTTTCAGACCAGGACGCACAAATGCATTTGCTATTTAAACAACGTGGCGCAGGACATGAAAATGATAACTACGTCGGGCTGAAACTAGCAAAAAACACTTGCGTCGCACCTGGCGCCGGGTGTATGATAGGGCCCAAAGCTGTTCTCATGGGTACGTGAATGTTGAATGGCCGCTAACGACTGGAGCTCGCATCTCCGAAAACGTCTAAACAAACTGTCAAATATGCGCTATTTATAAGTCGCATATTTGCGGTCTAAATAACTATATTCTCGCCTAATAAACTCTTAAAACTACATTCCGTGACACCACAACAGAAGTATTTGTAAAAAATTATGGCGGTTTGCCCGTTCGCCATGACATTGTCTGTGAGAAATGCTGCAAGTAGAGTGATACAAACAGTGAAACGGTTCCCGTGGTGATACTAGTAGAATGTCGCATGGCTGGAAAAGGCTCTCAGCCAATCAGAACAAGAATTAACTGTTGTATATAATATAATATAATATAATATAATATAATATAATATAATATAATATAATATAATATAATATAATATAATATAATATAATATAATATAATATAATATAATATAAGACTATAATATACAAGGGAATGGCAGGTAAACAACGGGTGCAGAAATCTATGGCCACATTTTCCGTGTGGATTTAATGCCAAGGCACAAGGATGGAGTTTAAAGTTAATCAGTGATCAGTTATGGAGTAAGTAAACAGCTTACTCAAAAATGTCTAAATGAGATGGTCAGGAATGGATGCTCACAAATACTTGCCTTCAGTACATCTCAGGATGTTTCCTGCGTTATAAGCCTGTGAAATGTTATTGATGAAATGACGACAGTCACTGCCAGTGAATGTGTTTGTGTGGGTGTGAAACCGAGAGCAAATAAGGAGGGAGGAAAGAGCGAGAAGGAGAAGGAGAGAGAGAGAGAGAGAGAGGAGAGAGATGCACTGTGAATGTTGCACATATTCTGTGGATTTCACAATCATAATTTGAGCATCCAGAGATTTAGAAAGTCATCAAAATCCTGTATCATCTTCACAGAAATCACATTCTTAATAAGTACCAGATTTCTACAAAAAAAAAATTATTTACCTATAAAATTACATAGATTTCATATCATGGAGTTCCAAAGGCAGATTTTTTTATTACTTGTTTTAAGCATAAACCTCATATTTTTATCTATTTTTGCACTAGTTCTTCAAGATGGGGAATGTAAAACATGAAATGGATGGATGCGCAAAGCATAGCAATCCACGAAGGCTGTGTGGATAAAAGGCCTCGAGCGCTCTCATACTCCCACACACTTCCAGAACAAGGCCAATTGGCCACATACAAACGTGTAATTTCAAGCGAGAAAATCGACAGTGGGCTACCACTGTCAGATTCCTGTGTGTGTGTGTGTGTGTGTGTGTGTGTGTGTGTGTGTGTGTGTGTGTGTGTGTGTGTGTGTGTGTGTGTGTGTGTGTGTGTGTGTGTGTGTGTGTGTGTGTGTATGTGTGTGTTACACACATGTTATACAATCATTGGAAGGATGAATGCTGTTCCCTCTATACTTCCAGTATTCAGCATTTCCACGGATATTTAAGGTTGACCTACACAGCACAACAGTAGGGTTCTGAAAGTAAAAATCCTATTCATTTTCAATTGCATATACAGTACATCTGCCTTTGTGGAAACCAGAAATTTTAACAATTTTAAGCAATGAATATCTGGTGAATTGCTACACATAATCCTGAAGAGAGATCCACCTATCATGAAGTTACCATAGTAATAGGAATCACAGGAATAGAGCTGAAAAGAGATAGTCCACATGCCCATAGTTCATTTTAGTTCTCAGTAGTCTGAAACAATTATCCTTTCAGCCAAATACTCAAATGTTTATTAACTATAAAACTGTGGTCAAAAAAGATTTTCAAAATGGCCCAATTTCTCAATGTAACATTTAGAGATGACAATTAGGACCAGATTTAAATTATCACAATTTGGGGAGAAAAAAAAGTCTGGGTGGTGAAATGATTCTTGAGCAGCAAATCAGCATATTAGAATGATTTCTGAAGGATAATGTTACACTGAAGACTGGGGTAATAAAGCGGAAAATTCAGCCTTGCAATTAGAGAGAGAAAAAAAACATTTAAAAATAGGCCTATATTCAAATAGAAAACGGTTATTATAAACTGTAATAATATTCCACAGTATTACTGTACTTAATTGAATACCGTATAAATGCAGTCATGAGCATAAGAGACTCATTTCAATAACATTAAGAATATCTTCCCAACCCCAAACATTTGAACAGTAATATTTTTAAATTGCGCTATGCAGACACCCCGGTAACACTTTACAATAAGGTTTCATTAGTTAGCATTAGTTAATTACTTTAGTTAGCATAAACTATGAACGAACAATACTTCTACAGCATTTATTAATCTTAGTTACTGTTAATTTCAACATTTACATTATTAAAATCTAAAGTTTGTTAACATTAGTTAATGGACTATGAACTACTTGAACTAACAATGAAAGACTGTATTTTTTATTAACATAGATTAATAAATAAATACTGTAACAAATGTATTTCTCTCATGGTTAGTTCATGTTAGTACATTAACTAACAAATGAGGCCTTAATGTAAAGTGTTACCGACACCTCTAATAAGTGGTGAAACTGAGCTTTTAGCATAGCCTACATAAAATCAACAACACTTTCTGTAGCAAATAGAATTTAAGTTTAAACAACAAACTTTCAGAACACCACAATGGGAAGCGACCAGAGACACCACCCTATAGCAGCAAGTTTTGCATGGGTAAGCAGCTCATTATTTTCTTCAGAAAATGTCAAAATAATATTCAAATATTATTTTGAGAGTAATATTTAGCAACTAGACTGAAGGTTTTCTAACAAATCCATGCTAGTGTTTGCTAATCTGCATCAGCTGTTTGCGCTGTGCCTAATGTACACATTAAGTGGGTTGAACCTAATGAAGTGATGCGCATGTGTATGTGTGGAAGGCTCAGAAACTTCACAGTTTGAGCTCCTGTGTACGAGCTGCTCAGCTAGCAGGAACGCTATAAGTACGCTGGAGCTGGTATTTGTCTTTATTTTCAGATGCAGACGGATTGGCTCGACGAGAGCCCTAATCAGAGTCCACGCAGCCTACTGTATAATCACTCACTTCAGGATTGTAATTGCATGTGAACAGCTGAAAGCTGTGCAGTGGGTGGACAGAAGCGAAGAACAGCGCTGAGGCTAACGTTGTTGTTGGAAGAAGCTGTCCGTTTCATGCCACTTTTGCAATCTGTCAGGGGTTAAAAGAGAGCAGGATGTCACTCGCAATAATAGCCTAGCTGTTAGCAACGCAATTTTGTTTCCGGCACATGGCATTTGCTCTTTTCTGATCATTTAATGTCACATCCCAAGCAACAAGATACTTGTAAGTGCTTTTCACACTGTGCTTCACCTCGGGTAATCGTTATTCCAAACCAACCAATCATGTGCCTCATATTCACATGCTTTAAACAACACGTGTTGTATAAATAGATACATATAAAATACAAATGGTGCTGGAAAACGCCAAGAGTTTCATTCTTACCTTTATACTCTCTAAAGTTAATTCAGTAAAACTTGATTGACAGTCGACAATATATAATATAAGTGTGCGCAATGCTAGAGCTTTATGTAGCTAAACAGGTCGCATGCTGCATTGGTCCAATTAATGACCCTGGAGCACCACAAATATTCAAATAAAAAATGCAAACCTAGGGTTTAGGAATATACAGTGGGAAATATCGGCTTAAGAATAGCAAGGATTAATTGTTAACCACAGGTAAATTGTGTAAAAGCAAGATAACCCAGGAATCCATTTACCAGGGGTTTAGAATGACCCAGGGTTAACTATTTCAAGAGTGAAAAGCCCTATATAGAAGTAAAAAAATATATATATATATTTTTAGTTACGCTGTAGTTACACTATACATATTCAAAAAATAGACTAATGCCCGGTTTCACAGACAAGGCTTAAACTAGTCCCAGACTAAAATGCTTGTTTGAGCTGTTTTAACTGAAAGCAACTTGCTCTGACATTTCCTAAAATAAGTCAGTGCCATATATATATATATATATATATATATATATATATATATTTTTTTTTTTTTTTTTTAAGGCACGTTTATAAGCTACTTAAATGTCCTAATTTAACTAATGCCTAGTCATGGCTTAATCTAAGCCCTGTCTGTGAATCCAGGCCTAAATTTCATACTAAATTTAAATGTAATTTTAAATATATACCTCCCACACTAATTTACATAAATAAATTTAGGTTGCTGAAAAGTCACACATATGCTGCCATGATGAAGCAATAATGTTGCACAGGGACCTGATTGTATTAATTAGTCAATCATTTTTTAACCTGTACATTTATATGAAACATTCAAACAAATCCATTCGCTAAAAAATGGACCTGATGGATTTGAAAACAGTAATGTAATATGAAATACATCATACTACACTACTACTGAAAAAAAAAAAAACTGGAACTGGAAAACTATTTTGAAAATGTCTGAGCTATGTAATGGCAGCCAAATATTCTCAAACAAGAAAAAATGTAGAGCGGGACTGAATTTTGTCAATCTGGAATTGATTGGATCGTTGTTGTTTGCTATTGCTGTGATCTCATGAGTGACAGGTTGTCCCGCCCTCACGCCATGGTTGGTGACTTTAATAAATTGGCAAAATGTAAGGAGGAAAGGGCTCAAAGAGTCCAAACTAAAAGGAAACTGCATTTGATCAGATACCGTCAAGTGAAGTTATATCCAAGATAATGTGAATAGCACTCAGCGAATAGAGACCTAGCTTCCTGCTCGCTCTGCTATTGCCTATTATAGGTCAACAGTGGTTCAGATAAAGACCAGGCTTAAGTGACAAGTCTCTGTCATTCAGAGTGACAGGACCACAATCAGTTGAAGAAAGGGCAGAATAAATTGCAGGGGTAGAGGGCGAAAACACAGGCATGGTCAGAACTTAAATATCATGTCAGGCTTAACATGAGCTCTTCAATCAATGTAGCATCCTGCTAATACTTTTAGCCACTGTAAGCATGACTTAAATTCCCTGAAGGGCTCAGACTGGACTTAAGATCAGACTCTAATTACAGCTGCTGTGTTGACCCCATTCCCTGTCCCAGTCTCATAAGGTACAGTAACATTTAAAGACATAATAATGCAACTGTAGATCCCCGTATTTTGTAATACCACCACCTAATTTCTTAACAAAAAGGCACGGCGGCGGTGCCATGGGACAGAGATCATATCAGGTACAAAATGGTAAGCATTTTTATGTACCTTGGTATTTAGATGATACTCCAAAGTAATTAAAACAATATCCTGGAATTACCATGGTACTTGTTTTTGCTAGTGTTGATAGTTACCTCAATAAAGCTAAGACTATTAGTTGTATATTTAAAAGGTTTCTGAGATGGCAAATGACAAATAAACGTAAACAAATAATTAAAAATGTCATGTGGTATAACCATCAAGTAAAAAGCAATAACACATTTTCCTTACACCTTAATTATATACTGTATGTGTGTAGACATCTTAATAATAATTTTCAAAAAGGTTTAAAATATATTTTTATTTTTAAATATGTATTTTTACTAATTAATTTGGTAGCACTTTACAATAAGGTTTAATTTGTTAACATTAGTTAATGTATTAACTAACATGAACTAACCATGAGCAATACATTTATTGATGTTTTATTGTAATTCTATACATTTTTTATGTTAATATAATTAAAAATTACTTACACTTCATCTTTGTCAACGTTAGTCAGTAAAAATATAGCCGTTCATTGTTTGTTCAAGTTACTTCACAGTGCATTAACTAATGTTAACAAATAAAACTTTTGATTTTAATAATGTATTAATAAATGTTGAAAAATTAACATTAACAAAGATTAAATGCTGAAGGGGGCCTAGTTAATGTACTAATGTAGTTAACTAATGAAACCTTATTGTAAAGTGTTACCATTCATTTATTTAAATAACTACGAATTATTAATTCATAAATATCGTTACATTTTTGAGTACCACCACATGACATTTCACAACTCGATTGTCATTAAAGTTCAAATTTTAGGACTAACTAACCTTGACACACAGTCATAATGGTTTACAGGGTTCCTCTCAATTTCGTTATTTTATGGAGACATTATTTTTTTACTTTCCGTGCCCCAAAACATAATGTAACATTATGCTCATCATAGAAGAGGTGTATTCAAGTCATTGTACTAAATACATTTAATATATATAATTAATACTTTTGAATAAATTAATAGATCTGCCTAAAAAAAATGTCGTTGACCCTATGGTATGTTTAAGGTCTACACAAAACTCAACATGGATCAAACAGGATTAACTGGTGAACAAACAGTGTGCGCTTGTGTAGGTGTCAACAGTCACAGTGCAAAGTGCATTGGCTCACATGTTATTTCTGTCTCTGAAACCAAAAGCTAAGGGGAGGGCTGAGCATCCCAACTCACAAGCACATTCAGACATACTGCGGGAGCTATTTTAAAATCCTCTGCTAAAGTCGACGAACCATCAGGACAGGGTTATGACTGCACACGAAACACTCCATACAATGTTCATATGTTTTTGAAAGCAGTGTGTCCTCTCCTGCAGAAGCTATACTTTTGATTTATAGGCTAATTGGGTCCAAGGGTTTGTGATTTGACATACAAAACCACATGACTGCTTTCTACAGTGAGATTTCAGGAGGATGGTGGAGACATGTGGTCTGCAGTGGTCTGATACGAAGTATTGTGAACAATTACACCATCTGCATTAAAATAAATGGGTGAAACTATAAAAGCCTTAAAGTAATAGCCAACGGTAAGATGGATGGACTAACTCTAGCGGATGTAGAGTCGCTACCACTGTCTATTGATGTTTCCTGAAATATTGGGCCATTACATCCACTGTGTAAGGTTGCACAGCAGTGACCAATTCAAGTGCATGCTGCTCTCCACAGGGAGAGCGAAATAATCCACTTCTATCCCAGAGAATATGTTTGATAGGAATCTCTAGCAGGTCGGTCCTCTGCACACTCAAATCTGCTGCGAATTCAACTGAATGCATCAAACACGCATTATATTTTAGAGATTTGAAAAGCATTATCAGATGTTTTTCCTGAACCAAAGACAATCCTTTAATCTCCACCATACTGAGAAGAACATAATATTATAGGACCTATTTCCCTACATTCACATGGATGCTTTACAGTATACCAACGAACATGAATCCACATCAGTAAAAAAAAAAACACACCACGTTACCTTTGATCCATCCAAGCTGATGATCCTGTACACGTTCCTGGTACTGTCATAGAAGTAAGAAACAGTGACCGCATGTTTGCTGGTGGGCATCCAGTTCTTCTTAGTGCTGGGGTCTATCTGGAAGACGTGTGCCCGGGTGCTGTAGATGGGCTGTTCCCTGAAAGGTAGGAAAAAAAAGTGGTGAACTTCTTTGTGCCTGAGCACCGTTGTCTCTCCGATTCCGCCAGGCGCGCTGGAACGTCCCGGTAGACGGATCACCATTTCTTCAGCCTCCATCTTGCTGCTGATCACCACTGCTTGAACCCAGGTAGAAACCTGGGTCTTGCCTAAGCAGTCAGACACATTGGTGCCCTGCTAACAGTGCAAGGCGACCATTCAACGCCCTGCTGATATGGAAATGCCAGCTGTTTGGCTGGGGCAGTGTGGGACGGACACTAAATATAGTCAGGGTCGCAGTAATCTGTGCAGTCCCACCCCTACTGACCTGATCTTTGCTGTTGGAACTTGGAAGTAGCAGGGCTCTTTTCCTAGACACCCTACCTTCATTTTGATAAACACACATAGACAAAGGTAGCGTAATTAATAGATCAACTAATGTGCATTACTTTTAGTCTAAGAGCATGGGTGGAATTTCATAAACATCCCAGCCAAGTTCTTATATGCTATATTTCAAGGTTCCGATAATGACAAGAAAAGAATAAACTCTGCAAGAAGATAGTTTACACAAAAATCAAAATCGTGTCATCGTTAACATTTCAAACAAGTTTTCAAAAGATTTTGTCCATACAATGAAAGTCAATGGGGTCGAAAACAACACTGGACGCTATTGATTTTCATTGTATGAACAAAAACAACACTGAGACATTTCTCAAAATATCTTCTTTTATGTTTCACAGAAGAAACAAAGTCATACAAGTGCAGGTTTTGAACAACATGAGGGACAGTAAATGATGACAATTTTCATTTTTGGGTGGACTATCCCTTTAAGCAATTAATCACCTTTGGAGGCCATGCACAGAGAAAAACGAAGGTCAGTTTTGTGAACGTTATCATCACTTTGGGCAACAAAAAACAGAAAAGCATGTGGACCACAAGCAGGAAGGAATAATCACTCTAGAATAATAGGCAATCATTGCTAAAGAGAACAAAAGAAACCTGGAGCTCGAGTCAGATGAGCTGTCTCACTCTGAACTTTCTCATTCTTCTTAACACAATTACAGATTTATCCTCATTCAAAGTGATACATACATGTCATCAGCAATTCCTCAGCAATTAGCATTCACATGGCAAAAATTCTCAGTAAGGTTAAAATCATGAGGTATAATAAACTAAAAATGAACAATTTTTTACAGCATTTATTAATATCAGTTGCACTACAGAACATTTTAAGGTAAACATTGTACATTTTCATTATTGAGAGAGTACATTAAAAAAAAAAGTGTTCAAAATGTTCTTGCCATACCCTCATTTACTAAAGTTTACAATGATGATTGGGTTTAGTGGTAGATTTCAGATTCATTTCAAGCAGTAGCGAAGTAAAAAACAAAATAACAAAAAAAAAAAACAACAACAGCGCAAGTAACTTGCATACAGTTTTATGTTTTAACCATAGAGATAGAGGTCTAATATCTTTAGTGTACCTGCTTTGGCTTATGCTTATGTTAAAAAGTCACAATGAAATAACAGTAATGACAGATCTTTTCTTCTGTTGTGACTTACATTCGCGTGTAATAGATTTTCAAAAAAGAAAAATGTAGGACGGGAATTTGGTTCTATACATTTGGTTGTTGATTGGATTTTGAGATGTGGGCGTTGCAGTCAAGGGCGGAGGCAGATAAACATGAGCTTTAAACAGGCTAAATGATTCGATAAGTCCTACATATGTCACCAGAGAGAAGTCTGTTGTTTTCACCGGAAGGTCCAGTTATAACATTTTGATTTAACATTAACATTTTCTTAAATGAAGCACATGCACAGATGAGTTGTTCACAATAATAGAACAGAAAATAGGTTGAATTTTATTTCATGCTGACTTAAAAAAAAAAGTGGAATCTTGGAAACAAAGAAATCAATTCATTGTTGATTCATGTAGATTCATGCACTATTGTTAATTTATAATTTATAATTTATACAGACAATATAGTAGAAATTAACATTGACCAATATTTAAGTGCTGTGGTTCATGGTGATTTCGTGTTAGTTAATGCAAGTTTAAAATATTCTAGCTGACAAGCCCCCCCCCCCCCCAGCTGAGTTTTTTTAAGGCGACCGTTATTTTTAGAACGTATTTCCTAATCATTTTCATGGCGACGCATCATGCTTGTCATGTGACACACCGCAGCCAGCGCAAGCCAAAGCTCAAAAGCACATTTGAAATTAGCAGTTGATCACGTGATGCACTGAACGCTCCAATCACACCGGTGCTTAGGATTAACACAATTTTAAAGTACAGAACCTCATTGTAAAGTGTTATTGGACAAACTTACCAATATTCAAAAGATCCTTATAGGGACAACTAACAATTGCATCAGGCTCAAAATTATTGACAATCTCAGCTTTATCTCTGGATACATAGGTATGACTAGGAGGATTACATGGGAAGTTCACTAATGCCCTTCAAATTTCAGGTAAAGAGAAATGCTTTGCTTCAAAATCCAAATCCAAACACAGAGGGAAGCCCACTACTATAGCCTGCTCATTGACCCTTCCCCAACTATAAAAGCAACTGGCCTCAAATCAATGTCAAAGGGCATATGTCTCCACCACTGTATGCTCAGTCATCGGCAGATGGAGCTTTTCCATAGCATTCCCATACCCTACACTCCTCTGACCCAATTCCACAGATAACACCCTTCAAATCCTGGGAAAAAATCCCATTCAATCCCAATTTACTCTAATATTTCATCCATCTTATTAAAACATAGGATCAGAAGCGGGAAGTATAATGGGGGAAAGGGGGAAATATAACAAACACAGACGGTTTGTTGCTCCTATTCCCAGGATAATTAATCACCATATTCAATTACATTAGCGTGCTTCTAATCAGCTGCTGCTGGGTTGATGTGCAGGAATGAAAGAAATTGAAAAGGAAAAGGAAGGAAAAGAGAAGGAAGAGGAGCAGCCTAGGGATAGCTTAAGTGAGGCGAAGGAGAGAGAGAAATGCGGAGTACGGAGAAGTGCTTACGCTGCACCGTGGAGGCGGAAGATCTCTGAAGAGCATCAAAGGCTTGTTGCATAATTAGCATTTAAATTTGATTAAAATGCAGTTGCATTCACCATACGCGGGTGCTTCACATGACATCACATGCTTCCATAGGGTCATAACCATTTAAAATGTAGTAACTTAAAATGTTTATATTGTGAATACAATCCATTAGCCGAGCTTGTTGGGACATTTCCATCCTTTTCTCTGTTCTCACTCAAACTTATGAAGTACTGAATTAAAGGCACCCTTAGGGAAAGAATGAAACTGTAAATAAACTGGAGCATATTGCTACATTATTGCAGCTGACTATTTTATTTCTGATTATGGTTCAAATGTATTTGCTTATGTACGTGTTTTGGGTTCCATTTTCTATAATACATGTTCTCATATTGTTATAATTATGGTGTGGCAAACGTATTTGGTGTATATTAGAAAGAAATATATATATTTCTAATATATATATATATATATATATATTTCTAATATATACCACACATATAAATATGCACACACACACATATATATATATATATATATATATATATATATATCAAATTAAATAAAAATGTTTTAAATTGTAATAGCATTCTGTGTTGCTAAAACAAAATGTGAAATGCATAAATTAAATAATGTACTTTATAATAGCTTTATCATATCCATGCAGTAATGAAATGAAAATGTCTTGTATAAAAAAAGGCTTTTTATATATTTGAGCAGTGTACAAACTGTCACACTATATGAAAGAAAATGTGAAAAAATAGGTTAAAACACAAACTATTCCAGTATCTTGTGTTTTTTCCTTAGTAGCCAAACAGAATAAACGTAATGATTTTCATATCTTGTTTGCTTGTTTCATCAATTCATGGTTGAATGTCAACCGCCCACGCAGAAAACATAGGATGGGGGAACAGCCTGAATTTAGAAAAGGAAAATGAAAACTAGATTTTATATACCTAAATGTTTATGAAAACACAGACCCTCAGAGCAATCTGAGAAAATGTGAATGTTACAAGCCATTATTAAACTATTTTGAACAGATTGATTGTAGAATCCATTGGATTCAACAGTCAAAAGTATTTGAAGCCAAGACTGTCCGATGTTAAATGTAAGTGATATGGCCAATTATATAAGGAATCAAAAGCAGACAGCTCTGTATTAACATCAACAGTCTTGATCTCACACCACCCACCTTCAACAACCCACCTCCATACAGAGCTAGCAGTCATTTTCATTTTCAACATCTGTCTTTCTGGCCAAATAATAGAGCAACAACAAAGAAGACCAAACTTCTGCCATACTTCAAACTTGAGTCATCTGTAATAGCATGTACAGGAAGTGGACATACATGGATAAGGAGCTATTTTGTTAGTTACATAACCTGGTTAGCGTGGTCAAGCTTGACTTTGAAAAGGTGCAATCATACCATTCAAATCATCCGTCCTAATAAGCAAAATAAGCTAATTGGATCACTTTTAATTTTGCAACAATGCAGATCTAAGAAATCACATTATGAGAAAAATGTTGCATTCGTTCAGGAGGCCTATTACTCCCACTACTGCCTTAACAACGGCTGTTCAGTAATGTTAGCAAACTGCATAACAACCAAACACTTTATAGCATGTAATAAATTGAATTGTGTGCCACTGAATTGAGTAGGAAGTGGGAATGGTTTTCTCCAGAGTAATATACTCCCAGAACAGCCCTTGAATCTTTCAACGGTTATAATTTAATTAAGAATGAAGAAGAGGGGACTTAAAGCAATTCAAGTTAAAAAATAAATAAATTATTAAATGGAAAATGCTTTGCCACCACAAGAAGATCCATCTTTATGTAATTAACACATTTAAAATGAAAAGATGATCACTTCCAGACATTGATCAAAGACTACCCAGAGATTCTAAACAATATCTACAGGCGGCGGGGTTACCAATGGTGAAGATTTTAGGTCATAGAGACCAGAACAAACTGTAAGCAGAAGACCCTTTAAGATTGAATAGCCAAGCATAGGGTCACCTTTATTTAAAATCTATATTTCAGATCAATCTCCAGCTGAGCTTTGGAAATTCCACTACCATGTACAGATATATCAGATGTCATTGCCAATATTGGCTCCAAAATTGTATTGATGAGGCTGTGCCATGCAGCGGTGCTCTGCTGAAATGTAGATTACATAAGCATGACGAGATTAAAGGCCTTTGGCACTGCAGCACATCAGTATATGAAATTAGCTAATGTTCATTCTCATTCAGAGTACATGCTTGTTATCATTTGCCTAAAAATAATACACGCAGCTAACCAACAGACTGTGGTCTCAGTGGTCAAAAATGGTCGACCCAGTGAATGAAGAATAAACGATTAATTAAAAGTGAATGTAAAATGTGAGTGTACACACTCACATAATAGTGTGTGTGTGTGTGTGTGTGTGTGTGTGTGTGGGGGGGGGGGGGGTATGTAAAAAAAAAACCTGTAT